GAAAAGCTTTCAAACTGCCAAGGATCCCAGCCAGTGGAGCAAAACTTCCTTAAGCCGGTTCCTCACTGCTCACTACTTCCCCATCTGTCCTAGAGTCTGCAGGGACACAAAACAGCCTCTGTTTCCTTTGGGGGTTCTCTTAATCCAAAAAACTAATACAGATTTTCTTCTTTATCCCAACAGCAGGTCTACGTCAACACTAGTTCATCTCCATGATCCTATCTGGAGAGAATATCTGTATACATCTGTCCTGATAGTTTTTTTCCTAAAATTACCAGATAAGCTATCCTAAGATAAAACAAATACTATCCATGGAAGACAGAATTACTGACATCAGTCACCACATGATATAATATCAGGGACATCTGTCCAAGGATCAAAACAGTAAGGGACAGCCGCTACCTTACCACATGAGAGAACATCAGGTGTCCAGACTGGAACTTCTGTCCAAAGCTGTAACAAACACACACACACTGACTCACACAACTGAAACTAAAAGTAAATCCCCCAACATGCTGACTCCGGTTTGGATTGTTAATTTTAGGTGTCAACTTCACTGAGTGAGTTAAGGGATGCTCATGCAGCTAGTGAACCATTTTTTTCTGGGTATATCGATGACAGTGTGTCTGGAAGAGACTAACATTTGAATCCATGGACTCTGAGGGAAGAGTCACGCTCAGCGAGTGTAGGTGGGCACTGCCTAATGGGTTGTGGATTCAGACAGAACAAAAACAGAAAAGAAAGTTGATTTTGTTCCTGTTCACACATGCAGATTCTCCCCCTACCCTCTGGAGCTGGGGCACCCACCCCATCCCTTCTTCTGGCCTTAGACATCGTAACTCCGGGTTCTCTGGCCTGTGGATTCCTTGCCCCAGTAGACAGCACCTCCTCCCATGCTCTTAGACCTTCAGTCTTGAACTGAAAGTTACACCATCAGCTTCCCTGGTTCTGAGGCCTTCAGACCTGGACTGAGCCACACTGGTTCTCCAGCTTGCAGAAGGTCTATTATGGGGTTTTCCCCTCCATATGCACGTCAACAACTCCTTAATAAGGCCTCCTACCTCCCCCTTTCCTCCCTCAAATATGTACATGAAATTAATAGGTTCGGTCTCTCAAGAGGATGCTAATAAACTGATTATCTCCAGGCAGTGAATTCACACATGATTTCATATTCCTCTCTTTTTACCTCTTTTAAAATTGTTATACACTGAAAATTATTGTATTTATAATTAGGAAGAATAATCACATTCACTCAGAGGAAAAAAGATTTCTATGCCTAGATCCAAACTAGAGGGTGCCACAGTACCAAACAACCCCCACTGCCAACGACCTGCAGGTCAGAAGGGTGTCTGGGTCCGCTTCTTCCCGAATGCTTGGCCACAGCAGTTAAAGGCGTCCTGGGACAGTCAAGAGACAGGAGCAAGGGGATGAGGTAGTCCATGCAATGTTCCCAGAGAAGATCTGACTTCATCCAGGTCTCGAAGGTTTTGGAAAATATAGTGAGATATAAAATAAGTCTCTTATATTTTTACTGGGTGATAAACAGAGGGTTAAAAGGAAAAAAACAAAAACAAAGGTATAGGGGCTGGGGATTTAGCTCAGTGGCAAAAGCGCCTGCCTGGCAAGCGCAAGGTCGTGAGTTCGGTTCCCGGTACCGGAGAAAAAAAAAAAAAAAAAAAAAAAAAGGTATAAATGACACCCTGAAGTACTGGGACTGCTGCCTGTTTTAAAACAGCATTACTTGTAGGAAACAGGCAGGAACAAGTTTCCTGCCAGCTCTTCTGGAATTGATAGCTTTGACTTGCTTCCAGCGCCTGTGGGGAACGGGAAAACTCCCCAGAGCAGGACGGATGTACAAAATACGCCTTCAAAGGCTACCACTTAAATCCCTGGGGAACTCTTAAACGCTCGCTGCGTTACTGCCCAGGAAAACTGCAGCAGACACCTATCAGCATGAACTCTGGCTGCGTGCTGCCACTAGCACTTTAATCATTAGCATTTCTGGTGAAGGACTGAAGCACTCAGGCTGCAGTGCAACTACCTCCAATCTCAGCCCATTAATCACTGCGCTGAGACTCATCTCAAGGCAGGTATGTAATTATACACAAAGCCAAAAATATTATGCATGTCCCACTCAATAAAGGAAAGGAAAAACGTACTGAAGAGAAATATAACCAACTCCAAATGTCTTTGCTCCTACTTAATTCAACTATTCAGGTTTGTTTACTTGCTACCAGGGAGTTATGCAAAGAATGGACTGCTATGTTCACAGCTTTTCTTCTCTGCTAACAATAAGAGAGAGATTCTGGTCCAGGCACAGTTCTTCTGGGTTACTTTCTTTAACTATAAAATGAGAATAGTGCCTGAATCTCCGGTTGGTTCCTTAAAAAGATCAATGCTAGAGCACCTTGTAATGACCTTGACAGTAACCTTCGCCTAGATTGCTTTGGGTCAGCTAGCCAGGTGCTGTACCATGACAATGAAGAGCGCAATGGTTTTGTGCATGAATCGTTTCCATATATGTCAATGTGGGCAAGTAGTTTCATCTCTCTAAGCCTTAGTTTCTTCCTCTGTAAGACAGAGGTAATATCATCTACTCCCCAAGTCTTTTGTCAAAATTAAACAAAAGAAACCACATCAACTGCTTGGTGGAGTTTCGGACACACTGCAAATGCATATAATTATGACTCCTGCCTTACGCATCCAGCAGTATAAGGCCACCAAAAGAGCAATATAGGGCTTCTGAGCTCCCCCGACACTGGCTGAGGGGAGACATGCCTTTCTGGAGACAGGGAAGGTGCCTCCCTTTATCCCTGCGCCCTCAAGCATCTCTCGCAGTGCCCTACACTTCATGGGTGCCCACACTGTGACTGAATTAATGGTCCAAGGATCCGTCTCATACATTCATAGCCCTTGGATGGAAGCAGGATCTCTGCCTCCTTTGATTGGCCCCATGAGTGTGATTCACTGGTACCACTTCCTCAATGAGTTCACATGAAAGTACCCAGCTGAAACATTTAAAAAACAACAAAAAAGAGAAATATTGATGAATGATATCATTAGGATAGCTTCGCAACTCCTCTCATTCTTCACTCCTCCACAAAATGTGCCTCCCCCAGAGCAGTGAACGTGCCTGGCATTTCAAACGTACCTTGAGTACCTTCGGCAGCACTGGCTATTCTGGGCGCCCACACGACTACCTGCTGCCTGACACACAGCAAACTTTTACCATTGCATGGATGCTGGCTCAATACTTTTATTCGGACAATGAGTTCTCTCTGGTGATACAGGCTAAATACATTCCGAACATTCATGCCTTTGCTCAGCTTCTCACTCGAGCACTGACTCAAGCAACTATTAATTAAAGAAGATCCTTGCCTTCAGGGGGCTCTCAGCTTAATGAGGGAAGGGCACGGTGTCATCATTAAAAGTTAGCGCTCTACAGTTAGAATAATTTAACTGCATCTCAAGTCTGTGTCTTGTTGGAAAATTTAAGGAAAACTGCTTCACGTCTCACATTCTGAAGGGAGCACAGATACAGGGTAGCCAATTCAGTGGTAGGTAACAGGAAACAATTCCTGGGAAAAGAGATACCTACCTAGCAAATGTCCAACAGGGCATGATCAGGAAACAGCAAAGGGAGGAAACAAAACACTGCAAGGCATGGTTAGGCAAAGGCAAATAGTCAGAGAGTAATGCAAACTGAGGAAAGGGGACACGTAAGGATAGGGAGAGGTGGGGATTCTTTTGACAGAGGCTCGATCTCAGCTAGCAAGTGACAGTGACCCACTGCAGGACTTGAAGCAGCTGAGGATGAGAATCACAACTGAACAAGTTCATTTTAATGGGAGTGTGGAAAATGGGTTAAATGAGGCATGGAAGACAGTGAGATTACAGAGGAAGCTGCTATAGTAGCAGGCAGTAAATCTGCAAGTCAAATTGATATAATGATAAGAGATTTAAAAGAACAGCGGCAGCCAGATGTGGTGACACATGCCTGTAATCCCAGCACTCTGGGAGGCGGAGCCAGGAGGATCACAAGTTCAAGCTCAGCCTGAGCAACTTAGTGACTCTGTCCCAACATAAAATATGGGCTGGGGATGTAGTTTGGGGTAAAGTTCCTGGGTTCAGTACCCAGTACCACCTAGAGAGGGAGGAGGAGCAAAGACAGAGGACAGGTTTAAAAAGTCATTTTGGAAGAAGATGAACAAGCGATGGCAACCCCTGAGATACAAGGGCAAGAAGAGAAGGGATAAGATGATCTCACCATTTCAGGCACAGACAAGCACACAGATGATGAAGTCATTAACTGATAGCAAGTATGAGAAATGATGCTCTTCGGGGAGACCAGGTAAAAAGTTAAATTTTAGTCATGTGGAATTCTAGAACCTGCAGAATAAGAAACCAACAATATTCAAGGAAGAGCTGAATATATGGGTTCCTGAGACAAGGATTTAAAAACTATTTCAAGTTATGGTTTGTTTCAGTGCAGAGTTTCATTAAAACAAACTAAAAACAGTAATAAAATTAAAATAAATCAAGGTCATGAGACAGGGCTCATGGGAGGATGTAAACATAAAGATCAATCTCCTAAATGCAGGAGAAAGGGGGATGTCTTGTGTACCAAGGGGGACATAAGCCTAACCCATTCACTTTATGATTCCCTGGAGCTTTGGGGGTTTGTTCCGGTGACAATTTAAGCAGCAGCCGGTGTCATGCAGATGGCCAGGCTGAGGGGGCATGAGGTAGCAGTAACTGCTACCCGAGGAGTAGTCAAAAGGTGTGGGTCAGCCCGGGCAATGTCTTCCCACCTTAACGCAAAAAACAGCTACAGGCAAATGCTTAAAGTAAAGCAGCTGGCAGAAGACGCATCACTGCAGAGACTTTCTTGAGACCAGGATCAACACTGATTTGGGTTACATGACACAAGGAGAAAAAAACTGGTTCTACAAAACCAATTTGTTTTTACAACAATACCACTGGTTCATAATCTGATTTACCTTTACCACGGCCCACAACAGAACTCTCTTCCCAAGACATCTGGTACCTTTGCTGATATACGATGCTGTCCATTAATATAACAACTACTAAAGCACTTGTGGTGGATGATTAATTGATGGTCAGCTTGGGTGGGCATGCCCAGCTTGGCTGCGTTAGCATGCTTCTGGAGTAGGGTATAAAAGGAGAGCAGGAGGGCAGGATCTTATGCTGATTTCCCTCAGAGCAGTGTCCGCCGTTCTCTTCTGAGCTCTGGTCTTCCCCAGTGATGGCTGTTGTTCTCTTGGGAGGAGTTCTGGTCCTCGCCTAGAGCATGGTCTGCTGGCCCTTGGCATAGACACTGCAGCTGGGAACTCTGGCCTTGACCTTTGCCCCTAGCTGTTGTCTCCTAGTTCTTTCCAGGACTTTTTCTGCTATGAGCATGGCCTTTCAGCCTACCACACAGGGACCAGCTCTTGCACTTTCCGGCGCAGATCCTTCAGGCTTCCATCGCAGATTCTTCCGCCTCCTGGTGTACAGGACATTGCTGTGGGCTGTACGCCCTTAGCTGGACTCCTACAGGACATTGCCTTGGGATCCACGCCCTTGGTTGGATTCTTTGGATCTCTAGCACGCGGACAAATCTCTTGCACTCTTCGACATCTGACTCTAGTAAGCAATGACAAATGCATCACTTCTGTTCTACTATTCTTAATGATTATTAGCAGTTTTAAATACTTTATGATCTGGGTCTTCTTCCTTTTGTGTGTGCCACAGAACCTGCAGAATGTACTAAGCAACACTATTAAGGTTAAAAGTTTAGGGGCTGGGGATTTAGCTCAGCGGCAAAAGCGCCTGCCTGACAAGTGCAAGGTCGTGAGTTCAGTTCCCAGTACCGGAGAAAAACAAAAACAAAAACAAACAAAAAAAAAAAGAAAAACCAAAGGTTAAAAGTTTAAATTTTAACTGATCTTAAATTATAAATCTTTATCATCTCACCACTTGAATGCAAGAAAACCACAAAAGCTAAAGTTCTTTTTTTCTATAATGACTAATGCTATTTGAATAGGAATGTTATACAAATGATAAAAGCATTACATACTCAGAGTATCTTCAATCTACTCAAAGGAATGTAAGTGTAATCGTCTTAAATATTTTCTAGCCTTTGAATATATTTTTATCCACAATTACCTGCCAAATTCTTACCTTCTTCCTCGCATACTGTTGCCCTTAGCAGAGAAAAACTAAAAATGTACCAGAGTAATAATATGTAACACTGACAGATACAAGGCTATTAGGAATTTACCATCTATCTTACCCTTGTCAAAGAAAGAGTAGAGCCTTCATTTATATCTCTAGGAAAAAATGAGACTGATGAAAGTCCAGATTACTTGTCTCTCTGATGGTATACAACTTCAGAGAAATTTCTTCATTCTCATAGGTTGAAATGAAATACACTCCTTTTCATGCTAAACTCATTTTACTGTAAACCAATGTGCAAATTATTCCCATCATAACCTGCTCCAAAACCATGGCTTCTGAGATTTCAAAACATTTTCTGTTCTTCCTTATAGGTTGAATAAAAAAATTCTACTTTTCATGTACAATATGGGTATTTCCATGTACTCGGCAACTATAAAGAGATTATAAATTTATCACGTCTAGTAATTCTCGTATATAATAGAACCTATCCATGACCAGAGAAATCATCTTGTCAAATAGCATGACAATAACAAGCTAGGAAACAACCTGTTTTTACTCCATGGAATCTTTTCTAAACATACTAAGCACCTGGAATTCATGATCCCCTATCTGATACATGTGGGTCAACGTACTGCATAATTCAGAATTCCTTCAGCTGTTCAAAAGCTCTTCAGGTCATACATCATATACATTAACCTTCTCAGGCAGATCCGGTCAGTATCCAGTCAAGGTTCATTTTTTAGCAGCAACATGTGATTTTAGATATTTGAGATCTGAGAATAGCAAATCAATAAGAAAATTTATCACAGGAGTTTTATCATAGCCAAACAAGGAAATATTTTCCTCATGTCAGTTATTAAGCCATTGTCTCTCAGCTTCAAAGTCATTATGCTCTGTGATACTGGGCTAAACTGTCAACCCCATTCAGCTCTGCCAACTGCTGTCCTGGGTCTGCGTAGGGATTGACAGTGAGAGACGGCACGGCCAAGGAGGGAAAAGGGCACACTTCTGTCCGTGGTGGTTCCCTACTGCAGCCTTTCTGCCTGCTGCTCCTATGTCAATCAACCAGTGCTTCTTCAGCTGTGTAACAACAGGTCCCTCTAGCAGCTTCTGAATCTAGTTAGCCAGTTTTCCCACACTTGCAGAGCAGCCTCACTGTGCTCCCAAATCTCGGCGCTGCTGGGCCACTCCTCCTTACAGAACTGAGTCCCAGGCTCACAGGGGCTTTCTTGTAAGTTCAGCCACAGCAGTACCCATGGAACACCGTGTGCGCATGTGCATACACACACACACACACACACACACACACACACACAACAGGCTCCTAGTCCATTTCAATTCTACACCTCTTCCCTGCAGCTGCAACAGCTTTGATCCCTTAGGGTTTGTTCTTGCCTTATCAGTTTCCTAATCACCCTTTACACTAATGTACCTCTACTTAAATAACTTGTATCCACCTAATATCCACCCAACTGGAACCATCCAATTGGATTCCATCTAAGAAACGATGTACAATATGCTATAATAAATATTAGAACACAAGTTATGGAATGAAAGGTTCTAACAGTGGAGCCAGGGAAAGATACTGAAGAGCTAATATTAACCAGAACCTTACAAGATAAGAAATCAACCCAGTAGAAAATGACAGAAAGGGACATTCTGGTAGAAAATAGCAGTAACAAAGAAAATAGGGTCTACTTGTAAGAAGAGGAGGGCAGAGGCAAAGATGGAGGACAGACATTTTGCTGTCAGTAAGAAATGCTTTCTACTGGTTATAGAGAACTATTAGAAGATGTACACATGTTCCCTGCTTCCAAAGGCATAATCTGTAGAGGAAGGGAAGAGCAGAAAGAATTTGAAGATCAGACATAAAACATAATACTAAGACAATCTTTCCTCCAAAAATTTATACAGCTCATCAGGAAATTCACTTACAAGTCACTTCATACTGTATAATTAAATATAAACTGGTTCCCAGATTTTGGGTCATGCATGTTGGCAGGAAGCAATGTTATTAGCTCAGTCCACCCAAAAAGTGATATGTTAACTTTAATTTCTCAACCAAAGCTTTGCATTAAAAAAAAACCCTTCCACCTAGATGCATCCACTCTCCCCTATGCTCCCATACCCAGTAATGAAGCCGCAACAGTGCAAACATAAGTGGAGCTCAATTTTGTCCTTATGCAAAAAAAAAAAAAAAGGAACAAAGAAAAGAAAAAAAATTCCCTAAAGAAATAAACAGTACACAGGAATAAACTCTTTCAGCTTAAGAGAAGTGCCAAAATAATGTAGCCAGTACTGATTTCTCATTTTATTTCACTGTGGAGTTTATAGTACTTAAAATTTCAATATAATTATCATTTACCCTTGTTCCTACATTGTTACTTTATTTTCTGCTAAGCTAGATCATAAAAAATTACTCTGACAAATGCAGTGCAACATTTGATACTTTTCTATTATTCTCCTGGAATTTGTTACAATGAAAACTTCTAAAATGTTTGACTATTATGCTTAAAATGAAGTATTTTCAGCTATCCACTTAAAGAAGTCTGTCATAAATACTCCAGGGAACTACGGTACTTTGTTAGAACTACTCCTGGTATTTTGAGGGTGAACACTACAATTTTATTTTTATATTCCCTGGAAAGGAACATAAGAGCTTGTATACTGTAGACACACAATAAATATTTGCTGACAAGTAGGCTAAGAAAGAGAATGAGGGTCTCTAAAATATTTTGAAACTGTATCATTCATTATTTTGGGTCTGGCCAACCAAAGTTAATGAAGGCAAACTGGATTTGGCAAAAATGCTTAAATTTTTTAGAATCCATTTTCATATTAAATGGGAACATTTAAAAAAACAGCTGAGGAAAGCTTCAGACACCTTGGCATACTTCCACAGATTATCTGATGATCAAAAGACATCTGGCTTTTTTGATTATTTATGGAATTCCACCCTAAGGCCCACTTGATATTTTCAAAATATGTTTTGCAATGTTTGGATATTCTCCAGGTGGCTGGTTTAATTCACATTTCCCCAAATACTCATCTTATTGGGACGTCTGATGATTATTCCTTTATGGCAATAGTAGAGTACTAAATTCTATGTAAAGGGTTTTATGAAACAAAACGAGATTTTTAAAAATCATTTTTTATTTAAAACTGAAATTAAGTTTTAAACCACTCAATTTATCATGTCTCATTTTTCTGAAGATAACATAGATAAAAGTACATTTTTCCCAGGGCTTTACTTTTCACGAAAAATACTACATTTAGTCAAAGGATTACTGAATAGACTATTTGTTAAAGATTGACAAGTATTATTTCTAACAGTCCAAAACAAACAGTACAGTATGCAGATTCTTTTCTGCAGAAAATGTGTTGTACATAAATGGCAAGGTGTGTGTGGTAAATAGGCTAAACATGCTCTTATTCAGTGAGAAGCAGGAAAGGTGAAGAAAAAATTGATGGGACAGGGACAGAACAACTGAATGCCAACCAACCCCAAACAAAGGTCTGCCTGTACTCGAAAGTTCAAACCCTTATAGCAGTGCACTTTTCTGCTGAAAGCAAATTTTGGGGCAAATCTTTTCCCCATCTTTTGTTATAAATGATTATATGGTAAATTAAGTTATCTAAAATAAAGGCAAAAGAAAAATAATAAAAAAGTTAACTAAATATTATACTAGCAAAAATTACAACACATTTGGATTCCTTTTCAATACTAAGGGGGAAAAACTGAACACGATTTACATCTACATCACAGCAAAGACAAATTAAGTCAGAACAAGAACATAAAATTTCAAAGACAAATTAAGTCAGAACAAGAACATCTACATCACAGCAAAGACAAATTAAGTCAGAACATTTTTCCATTTTATGATTCTTACACCATAGCATTATTTTAAATATTTACAGCAACCAGCCTTGTATTTTTAAAAATGCCTTGTTTATAAACAAAAAGTTATGAATCAGCTCTATTACAGTCTTCAGATGGAATATGTATTAAAACGTATTTCACTAATACGTCATTCATAAG